TCCAGTTTCTTCATCATGCGGTCAAGGACGCCGGGGTCCTTCTGACTCTTTGTGAAGGCAGCCAGTTCTGTATTCATGAAGCTTAGGAACTCAGTCTTCGAGAGGCTGCAGTGGTTCCCGTCCTTCCCAGCATACTTCTGGAAAACTGCAATCAGGGACTCGATGCAACGCTCGGTCTCTGTAGGGCTGGACACTTTTGCCATGTCGGAGCGGAGCGAGGCGCAGAGGGTGCGAGCGGGGAGCGGTGCAGCGAGCTCTGGGCTGCGGCTGGAGGCGGAGGGCGGGCCCAATCACACTTCTAGACATGCAAACTATGATGTCTGACATGAAAAATATGCTGATGATATTGACAGTAGATTAGATATTGCAGAGAAAAAGATTAGTAAACTTGAAGCCATAGCAATACATGGTATCCAAAATCAAACCCAGAGGGAAAATATATATATTTTTTAAATGAACAGAGCACCAGTGAGTTGTGGTACAATTTCAAGCGATTTAATGCATATGTAAACAGAATGTCTGAAGAAGAAGGGGATGATGGTACAGAAAAAATACTGAAAGAAATGTCAGAAAATTTCCATATGTGATGAAAACTATAAATCTATAGTATAGGTCAAAGAAGCTCAATGAACCCCAAACAATACACACAAGGAAAATTACACCAAAGCATATCCTAATTAAACTGCTAAACAAACAAAAACCATGATAAAGAGAAAATCTTTAAAGAACCAAAGAAAAACATGTTACAGAGGAACAAAAAATAAGGATGACAACAGGTTCCTGTTTTGAAACAATGCAAGTGACCCAATGGGGGTAAATCTTTAAAATACCATATTTTGCCGTGTATAATGCACACTTTTTTTGCCCAAATTTGTGAGGGGAAAAATAAGGATGCGCATTATACATGGGTAGTACTAATTCGATATCTATATAAATGTTTTTAATTCTCCCATTTATGCTGAGTTAAAAGTGTAACTTTAGCAATCAAAAATGATATCTGTATGCAAAATAATACCCTGGAATACGATAATCAATTTTGTTGAACTTACAATGAACTTGCAACGACAAAGAGTTCTCGGCCTTCTATGATGCATAAAAATTTCTTGTACCTTGTATCTGTTCTTGTGTTTTGTAATTATTTGTTACATAAAATTTCTTGTACCATAATGTGTTAACAAATAAATGCTAAAATTCCTTTGTAATATAAAAAAGAAGCACCTAAATGTAAACAAAAATTTGAATTAAAATGAACGGTTTTTTTCCCTGAAAGTGTGGGCTGAAAATGTGGGTGTGCATTATATATGGGAGCACATTATATATACATGGCAAAATACGGCACTGAAAGAAAAAACACACAGTCAATCCAGAATTCTGTGGCCAGCAACGCTATCATAGAGAGTTTTTCAGACATCCAAAGCTGAAATAATTCATTTCCAGCATCTATAGAAAATGTTAAAGAAAGTCCTTCAGGCAGAAGGAAAATTATTCCAGATGGAAACACGGATCTACCCTAAGGAACAAAGAACCCGGAAGCATTAACTACATGGGTGAACTGTTATCTAGTAGTGCAAAAGCAGGCAAGTAACTTCCAGAGGTCACATGATTTTAACATTCCATTATAAAAGTAAATGTCACGATGCCTATAGGGGTGGGCACAAGGCAGGAAAACTGTTTCTGTGTAGATAATGAAATACAGGAAACTTTGAGCAATGCGTCTGTGCAAAGAACGTTCTCAACCACCAAAATGAAGTTTCCTCAGGTAAGTGTACTATTTTGCTACTCGTTTCTCAGTTACCCACTTTGTTGGACAGCCATTCATGTGGCATGTGCCTCATACGAAATACTGCACCTGGCTAGGTGGAGATACTAAAAAGGAACCAGAAAGTTATCCAGGTGTTAAGGATTTCACAATCTAGAACAAATCACCACACTAGAAGGTAATAGATACAATTGCCTTATGAAAGAAAGCAACACAGAGGAGGGAGATATTTTTCAACCAGAGATCTAAGGCAAGCCATTTCCTAGGCGACCCTCCAAAGCATGAGGCTTTAGAAATATTTAGTGAAAAAAGGCTGCATCTTATTTGTTGTTTGTTGGTGACTTCTGATGAAAATATTAAATTTCTGATTCAGATATTTAAATGTCTCCTGCTTCCCTCCCTCCACTTCTGTTACTCTGCTGTGTTTGAAACTGGAAAGAGAGGGAGAGGGAACACGTAGAACACAGAACACAGATAATGGGATGTGAAGCAGCAGCCTGGAGGAAGGTCATACCCACCACCAAAATGTCTAGATGAACCCTCTCCAGGGGTAGCTGGTGAGAGGGTGGGTGACCTTGGAAAGTATGACTGCGTGTTGGGTTTGCATGCAGATTTCTCAGATGTGTGGGGGATGAGAACAGAAAGACAGTGTTTTGGTTTGGGTCTTAGGAACCTGCAGAAAGTCTGATTAATTTCATACTTCAAGTCCTTTACGAGTTTATTTCCTTTCAGTTTGCTCTTGGTGTAGGAAGCCTTTTTTTGGAGAATTTTAGCCTGTCTTGTCTTGGCTTAGGAAGTCACAGACAGGTGGTGTTTTGGGTCTGGGACTTGATATATGTGGAGATCTCTCATTTTGTTCCTCCCCTAGGTTTGGGAAATCACTGGCCTGTAGGACATGAATTAGGGCTGGTTGGTATTTGGAGTCCTCTTTGCACAGGACCTGAGCAGTGAAAAGCATTCAATAAAGTATTGGGGAAGGAAAAAGAAAAGTTCCTCTTCCTGCAAGTAAAAATGGAAGTCTTTTCTGGCATAGTTAGGGCCAGATGACTTGGATGATAAATTGATGAAGTTAGCATTCAGGGCCACATCATCCCCTACATGTGCCTTGTAGTCAAACTAGATGTGTACTGTGGCCCAAGTAGGCTACGCCTTCCTCCTGGAGGCCCTTCCCCACTGCCCATGCATAAGCAGCTCACGCTCAGTCAAAACCCAGTCTACACCCGAAGGAGTGGCGTATGTACCATCTCTTCCCGGTCTCCTCTAATCCCCTCCCTTGCTACCACCACCAGGCTCTTTCTTCCTCCTCTTTGGTCCCCATTTTCTTCCTATTGCCGAGCTGACTTGTGTTTTCCTCTGCCCTAAGTGTTCAAGCACCAACCCAGACTGGGGAGGGATAGGAGGCAGAAGAGGAAGTGGAAGAGAGAGAGGGAACTGAGAGAAGCTGGGCCCGGGCCTATAGAGTAAGAGGGGGATGGTTTGCAGTGAGGCTGGAGGGGGGCAGGAGAGGCCATTCAGGGCCTCACCAGAGGCTGGGCCTCATCCAGTGAGAGTCACAGGGGAGGAGATATGTCTGAACAGGAGAATGCGTGTGTCAGATCCTGGGAGGTTCCTCTGGGCTGCTGTGTAGATGATCTGGGGGAGGGGCAGAGGTCAAGAGGCATCTGGAGGCCATCAGCTGTTGCTCTGTGCAGGAGGAGATGATGGGGGTCTGGACCAGGATGATGGCAGAAGGTGGAACATGTGGGATCGTTTAGGAAGTAAAGTCAATGGGACCTGGAGTTATTGGGAGAGCCCTGTCCAGTCTGTCAGGGGGGTATTATCTGGAAGCTTCCTCTTTGCCCCCACATGTATCTTGCAGTTTTGGTGTTGTGTGACTACCAGGAGTCACTGCTGTAACCCAGGGTCTCTGGTCCATGAGTCCACCCCCCCACCCCCAGCCCTACAGGTAGGGGTGCAGGTTCCTCTTCCACATAGGCCACTGCCTACTGCACAGTGATGCAACTTGGGCCTCTGAGGAGGATGGAGACACTGGCTAGTTGTTGAGGTCTATGTCCCTGAGATCAGCTAAAATGAAATTATTGGTGGGGTCTAAACTTATACACTTATAATAGGTGAATTTAAAAAACAGCAGCTGTTAAAAAGCATCCTGAGCTGCTGCAGGTCCAGTCCCGTGCTTCCTAAGTATTGAAGTCACACAGAGCCCAGTGCTAAATGCCACTAGCCCTGCCAGGTGCCCTTGCCTGTGACTCGTTAGGCATTGCAACTGTCTGCTGAGCCCTCATCTCCGTGGCATTGTGCTAACATCACTACATCTGTTATTTCATTCTCACAGCAGCCTTATGAGGTGCCTGTCTATTCTCATTTAACAGGTGAGGAGACTGAGGCTTGGGGAGATGACTCTCCCAGTGGCACAGAGAGTGGGGGAGGTGGCATCAGAACCCAGATCTGTTACTCCACAGTGTTCTGGTCTGTGAAGCTTTGGGAGGTGCCTCCAGCCCTGCCTGTCCCTTGTCAGGCTCAGCTGTCTGTAGTCTCACTTGAGTGGCTTGGGGACTGTGAGAAGTGACCAGGGCACCCAAACTGCCACACCACCTGTAGCCATGTCACATGCACAGTTGTGTGGTAGTGTGAAAAAAAGTGGTCTCTGGTCCCCCTCTCTGCCAGCTGGCCTCCTTTGGTACCAGGAAAGTTTGTCCTGAGGCTGTGTGGGGCCCAGCTGACATGCAGCCTTGGCCCTCCTCAGGCCATGTTGACCTACCTCTCAGCTGCTTAAGCCATGAGGCCTGGCCAGGCCTTTCTGATGGAAAGGTCAGGCCATGGAGAGGCTCAGGCAATATCCTGGCTTCTTGTCTTCCTTGGCCAGGGGCTGAGGGAGAAATGACAGTTTCCTTGGACTCCCATGAGGGACCAGCTGACTGTCTTCTAGCACATTCTGCACTAAGTCATCTCAGCAAAATAACAGGAGGCAGTTTTAGGGGCTCAGGGTCAGGGGTCCTTGGTGTAGTATTGCCACTCCCACTACCCCACCCTGCCCTCGCTCCAAGTGCCTGCCTCTCCAGGCCTTATCCTCCACAAGCTCCGAGGGCTTCTGAGAGGCTGGCAGGCTGGCAGGCTGGGGTGAAGACAGCCACCTCTCCTGATGGATTAGCCAGGGCTGCCCAGCTCCTGGGGCCGCCCCGTGGAGATAGGCCCGGCAGGCCCACCCTTGCCTCCCTGCAGGCCTGGGCCTGTGCTCACTTCAGGTGCCCTTGTCCCACCACTTGCTTCTAGAAACTGCTTTGCTTGGGCCTGTAGACTCCAAGGATCCCAGGTAACTTTGCTGACAGACCTATAGGATCTCAGCTCCTTCCACACTCCCCATGGTCATTGTTCTACAGGATCCAAGGCCCTTCTCCAGGGGGCCTGCTGCATAACCCCTTCTACGGGAGGCCCCAAGAATAATACGGTGAAGAGGCTGGTATCGCTGGAGTAACAGAGACCCGAGTTCCAATCCCCGCTCTGCTCCTTACTGTATTGGGGT